TGGGGAGCGTGTTTGAGGCTGTCTGTGAAAAATGGACATTCGTGTTGCGGATGGAACTGACATTCTGATTCGCCGGATGTAATCGGAAATATTTGACCTACTTGTTGGCATTTTTTATTCTGAGGACCTCATGGAAAAAAAAGGAAAAAAGAAGAGAGTATTTGGTATCATCGTCATCATCGTCCCGATCATTGTCTGCAAAAGGGGCATCCGCTTGGTATATGTTGAGCGCAGTGTAAGCAAATGGCGTGGTCTGAATTGCCGCACTGAGCACGAACAAAGTCAGGTATCCAATTTTGGGGGTCGTTACAGATAGGACAGACACTGGGATGGCCAGAAGGAAGAGATGAAAGTCGAATGTACCCATGAGGAGGGTCCCTTTCGTCATGCACTGTCTGCAGTTCGGAGACTAAGAAGTCGTTAAGATACAGAATATCATAGTCGGTCGAAATATTCAAAAGGTTGAGTAAGACCGTATCCCACCTTGAAGGAGGGAGTAGGCTCCAGTTTTCAATGATGAACTTGAGAAGTTCCAATCCTCTATGTGGCTCAAGAGAGGCGTTGAATCTGTGAAGCAAAGTAGCCAGCAGCTCCTTGGTTTGTTGTGCTTCTACTGTTTCCTCTATTTGAGGAAAAGGTTCATTGAGTTGGCGGACGATATCTGGAAGCGTATTGCGAAAAATATACAGCTGTTGGATAAGGAATGTGGATACTTGTGGATTCGCAACAAGAGAAGCTACGGATACCAGGATTTCTTTTTCTAGGATGTCGTCGGTTTGATAGCTGCGTAACAACGCGACAGCGTTGGCTTGCGTTTGTAGCGTTTGAATGAGCAGCATTTGTTGTTGATAGGTATCTGTGAAAGAAGAATAGAAGGTGAGGTATAAGTCTTTGAATATGGAAGGCATAAGGACTGATCGAGTAGTAAATTCGAAGAATTGCAGCAGATGAAGGGCTTCTCCAGGTGCGTAGTTTTGGAAGCGTTGAGAAAAAAAGGAATCTGACCCGGGTCTGTATTTAGGAAGTTGGCGATGAAGGCAACGAGGCGCTGTAATTCTTGATAATAATGTTGAAGTTGCTGTTGTTCATACTGCTGTTGTTGTTCTTCTTGAGGCGATGACGGTGATGGTGATGGTGATTCTGGTTGAGGTTGTGACTGGCGTGGGGGTGATTGTGGTTGTGTTGGAGAAGTGGGTAAGCTGGCTTCGTTGACTGGACGTCGTGATGAAGAAGAAGCTGAAGACGGTAGAGTAGGGTGAATGATTTTTCGATTCGATGAGTTTCGATTGAAAGAAGGAGAAGATCTAGACCTTTGCTGTCTGAGACCTTGGAGGAATTCAGAGATGGGTCTCTTCTTATTGGACATTTTTAAATCAAGGAGCTCAGAAAAATCCAAAAGAAACAACAGTGATCGCTAAGATTTTCTTCTTAAGGTGAGCTTACAATGAGCTGTTTGTTATTTTTTAAGTTTTGTTTGACACGATGAAAGGTTTGTTTGTTCGGTTGTTTTCAATTCTGTTCGTCCTTTTTCTGTCGACTGCCTCGTTATCCAGAGCTTGCGTTTCTAAGAAAGGAGTAGAAGTTAGTTTTGCATTCACAGGTAGCAGCACTGTGGAATGGAGCTTTTACAATCCTACCAATGCAACTCAGTCCGTTGCGTTGGTTCGTGGTGCAACTGGAAGTGGTGGAACTGTGAGTCCCTACGTATTTGGAGACGCTTACTATCCTGCCTATTCGGTAGATGGATTAGCTGAATTTTATGCGGAACCAACTGCATCCAATACGCAGGATAAAGAGACTCCTTTGGTTCTTATGGAATATGAATCTAATCAGTATGGCGTCGGTTTTGTGTTTATTCTGTCTCCCGGTCGTAATTTCACTATTTTGGAAGGAGGATACACTAACCTAACTCCTACATGCGCTGCAGTCGTTGACATAGAATACAGGGACACTGCGGTGGTTAATATCGATTATGGGTTTTTGAGCCAGTGTTTGGAATTTTCGTTCATTTGTCAGCCGGATCCTTTCAATGTTACTACTGCAGTTTACGAACCAGTTTACGAAGATTTGCTGAATAGCGGCTATTTCTGGCCTTCCGATGGCGACTCCTATACCATTTATAGTTCAACTACTCCTGTTCCAACTCCATCACCTACACCCTCACCTTCTCCGACACCCAATCCTCAGAAAGGCTCAGTATTTGCTCCAAGCACAGTAGGAACGTATGACTATCAAAATGGAGCTACTACGAAAAACGTGACCATTGTTTCCTGCCCCAGTGGTTCTTTCGTTTCGAATGTAGAGACTCTATTATCAGATTCTAATGTGGAAGGTTATCGTCTGCATTGTAGTGATGGATCTGTTTCTGGTGTGATAGGACATTCAGGTCTTTACAGCAATATTTCGTCTTGTTTGCATGGAGTAAGAGGTATGGGTGGAAAAGCTCATACAGTTTATCCTTCCAGTGTTGCTGCTTATTATCCGGAGATTTGGACATCTCAAGTGTATTGCGGAGATGGTAACTATAGCAGCTTGACGTCCCATACTCAACAATTTGACACTATGGATTACAGCATTTGTCCCTTTGGTACGAGAATGGTAGGCGTGAAAGCAGAGAGTTACGAGTCAACTGGTGCGTTAGCGACTATTAGACTGGAGTGTGGATCTAGGATGCCGCCCGGATCGAGTGGGGGCAGTAGCGATAGTGAATGTAAAAGCAGCTCAAGTTCAAGAAAAGGAATGTGGGCTCCTACGAAAGTGGGAACGTACTACTTCCAGGGATATGGTATGACTTATTCACAAGAGCTGCACCAGGAGTTTTTCTGCAATTCGACAGAGTTTGTAACGGGCTTGAATGCTTATATTCATGACGGTTCGTTCTATGTCCGTTTATCTTCTTTGCAAGTGTTGTGTTCAAAAGGAACAAAGTCTCCCTTGTTTGGTTCGCAAAACACTTCGAATGCACAACTGCAAATGCTTGACTGTGGTCTGAGTCACGGGTTGTATGGCATAGGAGGAAAGAGCAATGAGTATTTCTATGACGTCAGCGAAGAGTATCCGCTATGGGATGTGCGTGCGTTGTGTCAGGCTGGAAATGTGAGCTCTCTGTCTTCGCATACTTCGCAATACGATGGTGGAGAATCGTACTCTTTGTGCTCAGATTCTGAAGTTATGCAGGGAATCCGAGTTTCTATATATGGCGATTTAAATTTCATTGGACAAATACAGGCTTTTTGCGTTCCTCTCAACACAAGTTTAGTTATTGCGTGAACATTTAGTTGTGCTTTTCGGCGTCAGTTTTGTGTTTTTTTCTTTTCGTCGGTTTGCTTGCTTTGTTAGCGTTTTTGGAATAAAGACTTGATGGATGTGACCAAGTTGTTTTTGGCAACTCGGCTGTGGAAGAAGCGTCTCATTTTTCGCAAAGAGACATCGATGACGTTCAAACGAAACACTTACTTGAAAGTGGACCCTCATCCTCCTCCAATCCTGTCTTTTTTCGACAAGGTAGTTTCATTACAGTCTATTCAGGGGAAGGTTGTTTATCATGAAGTTCTTACTGACAAAAGAAAGCTGTTTTTTGATTTGGATGGGCCATCTGGGTCTTTCGGAGAAGAAGAAGTGGAACAACTAATTCAAGCCTGTCTCTGTCGCCTGCCTGGTATAGACAATGAAAGGGGAAACGTGGTTGTTTTATGGTCTTCCAAGTTAGAAGAGAAAGCGTCATGCCACGTCGTATTTTCAACCACTCTGCTGCCGGACGGCGATATTTCCCACGATTTGGCTAGTTATTTATCCGACTTGAAGATTTTCCCCTATGTGGACAAGGGAGTCTATCATCCAAACCATTCTCTGCGGTGTCCCTTGAGTTCGAAAATGAAAACAGAAAGGTTTTTCAGATGTCCGATGGATGGGGATATTCTATGTCGGTCTTTGGTTTCCTGTATCTATCACAGCACCCACTTGGTGAAATTGAAAACAATCTCCAAGACTAAGAAGGAAATCCCATTGGACGTTGTCCATGCAGATGTCTTGGTGTGGTGCTCCTACATTAATCGGAAATTGGGGGCTGACTTACGATTTCGGAAAATCGAAAATGGCCGCTTTTTGCTTTTTGACCGCACAGAAGCGTGTTTGTATTGTCCCATTTGTTCTCGTTTCCATTCAAGAGAAAATCCCTATTTCGACCTCAAGACATTAAAGTTTTTTTGTCGCAGAGGACCTCGGGAAAAAGGAATTCGTTTGAGTATTTCGGAATGAACACGTTCGTTTCGTTTCATGAGAGAGGTCGTTCTTTATATGTCTTCTATAAATCGGCAGATGACTGCTATTTCCAAAAGTTTTCTCCGACGTCCAAAGTTCTTCTCAAACCAGATAAGCTGTCGCCTAATGAACTTTCAGAACTTGAGCAGCTGAAGCAGAAAGGAGAGTTATCCTACGCAGACGAATATCGAGAGGTTTTTGAACCAAGAAGTACTTTTTCTCGTTTCATTTGCGTAGCGACTCGTAGACCAGACCGTTGGTTGAAGTTATCCAAAAAAGGTGCCGCCTTTCATTGTTTCCATAGTCCTTTACAGCATTACTTCATGTACAAGTCAGAAAACGATCATTATTTGCAAGAATTGTACGAAAACTCCTCCTTGTGTAATGTGGTCTCCTTCGATATAGAAGTCAGTGCTCAGTCTTCAAACATTTTCCCTGATCCTCGGCAGAAGAATTCGCAAGTCTATATGATTTCAGTCGTCACTGAGAACCGAAAGATGCTACTTACATCGAAGGAAACACTCCCTATTGACGGTGTGGAGGTTCGCTTGTTTCAGGATGAGACCTGCCTTTTGGAAGGCTTCTGCAATGCTATCAAAGAGCTTGATCCCGATATAATCACCGGGTACAACATTTGCAGCTTCGACCTTCCCTTTCTCTACATTCGAGGAATCTTCCAAGGGGTGGATGTGCTAGCCAAAATAGGAAGGACTGTTACCATTCCTTACAAAGTTTTGTGGTATGATGATATAATGGAAACTGATATTCCTGGCAGAATCATTTTGGACGCCTATCTCAAGTTTCGTCGTGAACTTCGAGCGAGTAGATGTCGCTTACAAGACCTATCAGAACAATATTTGAATTCTTCCAAAGACGACGTTACTTTGGAAGAAATAGCACTGGCAGGAGAGGGGAAGGACGTGAAGATTACTACCAAAGTGGGTTCCTACTGCGTACAGGATTCTGTGCTAGTGCTTCATCTGATTGAAAAGTTACAGGCCATACCTTCTACTTTTGCTATGAGCAAATATACCTGCACTGCCCCTCAAACTCTTTACACCAGAGGAGTGACTCACCGAATTCGAAATTTGAGTGTTTGCTTTGGAAAGAACCGATTTGCGTTTCCAGTAGTCGACTACGACGACTTCGACGATGACGACGAGAAAGATAACGAGGAAAACGAGGAAAAAGAAGGAGACAAGAAGTATGAAGGCGCCTTTGTATTCGCGAAACCCGGTGTTTACAGCCAGGTAAAAGCTTTTGACTTTAACAGCTTGTATCCTTCCATCATGATAGCCATGAACATCTGCCAGTCTTCCTTTTTGGAAGAAAGACTGGTTTCAGTGGAAAGCAATATTATGGAGAGTCCTATTATTACTGAGGAAAAGGTCGAGATCCAAGTAGGAGACAAAATCTATGCTTTTCGAAGGAAGCCTATAGGACTTTTCCCTTTCATTGCAAAGTTTCTTATTGAGCGAAGAAAAGAACTTAAAGCTCAAGGGAAGAAAATAGACCAAAATGCAGTGAAAATCGTTACCAACAGTCTTTATGGAGCGCTTGGTGCGAAAGGCGGTTTCCGTCCTGCTGCTGAGAGTGTAACTGCGTTTGGGCGTTATTTCATTCGCTTAGCGAGAAACCTAGCTCAGGAAAAAGGTTGGGAAGTTCCTTATATTGACACGGACTCTTTGTTTGTGGTAGGCGGACCTCCTGACTCTCTAGGAGACGAAATCTCTGAGCAAATCGGAGTTCCTCCGTTGCGCTTATTGTTGGATAAGAAAATGGATAAATTGTTGGTGTTGAAGAAAAAAAAATACGCTATGTTGAAGGAAGATGGTCGAATAGTTTGCAGTGGTCTGTTAAACAACAGAGATGACTCTTGCGGGGTTTTCAGAGAAGTTGAACTATCCTGCGTTTTCGCCAGGTTCGAAGGCGATCCACTTCCTGAGCTCAAATTGGAAGAGCTTCAAAATTACGACTTTGAAAAATTTATTTTCAAAGCCCGTTTTAAGGCCGAAGTTAGTCGAAACTCAAAGTATTTTTTTCTGTTTTCGAGGGTTCTAGATAGAAGTGTGTCCATGGTTGATTTTGTCGTTTCTAAAGAAGGAGGAAATTCCATTTCGGAACGATACTTCCCAGCGGAGTCGTTCCCAAAGGAGAACTTGGACTGGAACTACTACCTTTCGAGCTGTCGGAAGATAGTGGACACTTTTCGCTAAAAACGAAAATGAGAACATGGGCAATAGTACTGTGGGCTGTTTTAGCTGCAGTTGTGGTTGCGTTTGTCTTTACAAAAATAAAGCATATTGTATTGCTGCTTTGGGATGGCTTGTTTCATATTGAAGACGAGGAGTTGGTACGGGGGGGGGGGGGCTGCCCCCCCCCCCGCTTTCTTGACCGGAATTTCGGTGTTCAACGACGTGACTACTTCGAAGGTTTTGGGAGTAGGTCCCTTTCAATGTTCCAATGGCAGTAGCTATTGGACTCATGTCGGAAGAAGCCAAGGCAGACATCATTACTCAGTGGATGGATTTTCCTGCCTCTCTTATTCTAACGATAGAATCGATTTTGAAAGACCTTGTAATTTGTATTGTCCAAGAAAGGACCAAGTTATAAAAGGTTTAAAGGTTTCGTTTCATCGAGGGTCGTTAAACAGTCTGGAAATAGTTTGCTAAAAAAAATGATAGGTCGGGAATGGATTGATAGTGACCAAATTGACGCTTTTTTTGAACTTTGTGGAGTTTCTTTTGTTTCAGCGACTCTTGCTCAACTTCCCGATGAAGATTTACGTGAACATGTTGACATCCCAGGGAATGAGTTTTTCATCCCATTGAATGTAAGGGACCACTGGATTTTGGTTCACGTGGAGAGCGTGGATATGTCTTTGGCCTGCATCTACGATTGTGCTTCTGGATCTTTTGAGCCTTCTGAAGTGCAAAGGAAAGTGGACGCAATTTGCAAGAAAAACATGGAAATACGTGAAGCTGCCTGTTCTCAAATGAGAACAGCTGGTGACTGCGGTGTTTATACTTGCTTGTTTTTGTTGATCGTTGCTAAGAACTTGTCTTACGACAGAGAAGCAGAAAGTATGGTAGTCACGGAATTGAGAAACTTTCTGGAGGGCTTACGAAGGCGTTAACTGCTTTTTTTCATTTTCCTTTAGCATAAGCAATGTATCCTAACAAAATGAGAATAAGTAAAATTCCTATTCCTCCTGCTATCCATACCCATATAGGAATTGATGATGATGAAGAAGAAGACGATGACTTGGAATTTTCATCGTTCGAGTTATCAGTTGAAGAAGAAGATGTGGACGACGAGGAGGAAGAGGAGGAGGATGAACCCGTGGGGAGATCGTTGACGTTGATATAGTTGTACAAGTCGTTGAGATGTTTAATGTAATAAAGATAAGTCTTATTCGTCCCAGAAATAGGGACGTTCTTCATGATATCCTTAGCATCTTCGAACATGGATTCGGACACGTAAGTTTTCGAGGTAGTTATTCTGGCAGTCGCTGGACGGTTAACAAAACCAAACCCATCAGAGTCGAGAGCCTGGTTGAACAAACCTGAAGGCCAATTAGCTGTCGCGCCAGTATCATCAATCGCTTGCATGTACAACGTGGCATATTGATTGGTTGAAACTCTGGTGTAGTTCCCGTACCCGTCACAGGTAATAGTTCCCGTAACATAGTCATCGTCGAAACTTCCCCATCCCACCAAAAAGACATAAGTTCCATTGAGATCTCCAAAGTAGCCACTACCGCAGCAGCCATCAGTTGTATTGTATGAGAGAACAGCTATGGGAAGAGGAGGTAGAGATAGGCTTGCGCTTAAGCCGAAATCGCCAGCATTAAATTCTTGGTACAGAACCGAGAAGCATTCGACTGCCTGGTCACTTGTTGGTGAATTGAGAGAGAAGCACTCGTTCGCCGACATGGAAGGCAAGTTCGCAGCTGCTTGGACAATGGAATTAGCGTTGCTTCTCCACTGCGCTGAAGCATAGGCAGTTGATGCTTGTTGTTGATAGTTGATAGCGTTGGCGACTGATATATAGCCTTGAGAAACGTTTATTTTGAAACCTGCACAATCTTGTTCGGTTGCATTGTAGGTTACAGACTGTTTCCTATCATTTGACAAACTCCCCTGCTGGAGAAGATTTTTCGTGATGGAGGAAGGCAAGAAATTCAGACTTCCACTATCGAATGCGCTTTTGGAAAGAGACAAAGATGAAGCACTAGTCATATCTGTTTTCTCGTTTTAAATTAGCGAAATGAATTTGAAGCTCTCATTTTCTCCTCGAGCAAATCTAAATCTTCCAGATACAGATCATCGGGGCTTTTAGACGAAAGACTGTCCAATAATTTCTTTAACTTGTCTATTCGGGAAGCTGCCTCCATCACTTTATCTTCAAAAAGATCATCCATAGTAATTTCCTTGAGTTGATCTCTTCGAATACCATGCTGCGCTAGCTTTTGTTCCATTTCTTCTCTGGGTACATTTGGTCGAAATGGAATTTTGCCTTCGAGAATAGTTTGAATGATTCGCGTCTTTTCTTTTTCTTTGTTTTGTTTTTCTTGGAGTTCCTGAATTAGTCGCTGTCTCCGGTTGGCATAAAATGTTCTCCTCCATTGAACAAACTCAACGAGAAGGTGAAGACATGAACGGAATTGTCTGGGAACTTTTCCTTCACTAAGATACAGGTTTTTCAAAGACCATCTTTTTTTCAAGTGCAGTTCATCTACTGAGACGCAAAGATTTTGCAATTGGAACAAGACAGAGTTGTGCTTGGAATGATTAACATAATTGGATAACTTCTTTTCAGCAATAAGCTGGTCTAAAAGTTCTCTGAATGAATTGGTCCAAACGCCAATGGGTAGCTCTTTAACTGTAAACGACTCATCAATAATTCCGTAAGTGTCTACATAATCAGAATGCGCAATGATCTTTCCAGTGAAACCCAACCATCTA